TGTGATGTACAGCAGTGCAGCAGTAACCAGACAGAACAGAGAAGGCCTTTATGCCTAGGATTTGCTCAGAACTGAATTAACTCTGCTTCCACTCATTTGGCAGAAGGGCCAGTGTGAATGGAGTTAAGTCTATACTGACTCATGCTGAAAATCCCACCTCTAAAATTTAGAAGTAGCCCAAACTAATGTGTTGGTTTCTCCATTCCTTTAGATTTAGTGATAAGACACTCATTGCTGTTAGTGGGCACTTTTACACATGCTCTGGGGTGGCAGGGGGAAGTGTGTGTGTGTGTGTGTGGAGGGAGGGAATGGGGCTGGGCAGGGGCAGGCACTGCCCACCTGGGGCATGGGACAAAGCCAGTGGCTTGTCCAGGGGGGGCGGGCAGCTTCTGCTGCTGCATGCACCCCCAGGAGTAGCATGGGGGCATGTACCCCCCCAGATCTGTGCATGGGGTGAGGGTAGGCTGCCCACTGTACACTTGACGCCAGGGCCGCTCCCGCCTCTTCCCTGCAGCTTCGCTTGGGCCAGACAGGGAGGGGTGGGGCGGGTGGTGATGGTGCTGGGAAGGGGGGCTAGAACCACCCCAAAATTTGCTGTCGCCCCTCAGCAGCCTCACATTTTACACTGTGGAAACTGAGATTCTTAGTATACAAGTTTTTGGGGTTTTTTTGAACTTTATGCAACTGTTCATAGATCTTTGCACATTACTTTTCAACAGGATTTGTTGCTGCTGTCATAACCATCTACTTTTCACTTACCAAAGTGATAACTGAAGCTAAATGGAGCCTAAAAATGGACAATCATTGTTTATTCATCCTATTGTCCTCATTTCCTGGAATGTGGCCAGAGCAGGAAACTGAACTGCCCAAAGCTCACTCAGCAAGTTGTGTGCCCTGAATCCCTGATTAGTCTACAGTGTGAACTTACTTCATGTTTAACATCCTTAACCCTACTGGAAAATGCATAAGTACACAAGAGGCACATAATTTTTGAAATTCCCATACAACATGCAACCTTACCTTCTTTGTGATTTTTAAGCCAACTCTGTTAAATTACTGCATGTAGAACACTAGCTCATACAGCAGGGGTCAGCAACATTTTTGGGCAGAGTGCCAAAAAACACCTGGAGCCTCAACTTGGAAGATCTTGGTGTGCCGGGGCGGATGGCAGGGGAGCTGCGAGGGGTCTGATCCTTATGGCAGCACAGCCCAGGCCCCTTCCCCACTGTGCCCTGAGGTATGTGCGCCAAGCAAAATGCCTTCCTGTGACAACTCCTGTCATACAGTGTTTTCGGTTTGAGTACTGGTGATGCAAGCTTTATTAAAAAGGCAACATCCTCTGCAATAGAAAAAGTCACATAGATTGTATTTTAAATCCCTGAGTCAATACATTTGCAGGATCCTATACATGATATGCTGTAGATTAGGGATGGATCGCAGTTTTGTAGCAAAAATGAACATCCCAATGACTTCACATTATGATCCTCAAAATGAAAGTGGTTAAGCACAAAAGGCATGAAGAAAATACTCCTGCAGGCTTACTGAGATTGCATGGCTAAATTCCAATATTTTTTCATGCTGTTTTCAGAATATAAGAGATCTGCTCACCAAATACATGAACTCCCTTGAGCTCATGTGTCTTCTTCCTACCTACTTTACACATTGCACAGAAATGGGAAACATGAACAAACACTTCAGTTCTAGCTATTCCTCTCTCCAAACACGCTGCCTTAGCTCAGACAAAAGACTCACTGCAACATCCCAGGGTTCTCCGGCACCTGGATTGATTTCATTTTCCTCCCTTTTTAGAAGAACTGCAGGAGAGAGTACGTGAATGACTAAAGGTTGGGATAAGTAGGTGCTATCTTCAAGGTCATGCAAAATGCACAAACAAAACCCCACGTAGCAGAAGCCTTCTCTTTACTGCTCAACTCTTAAGCTGTTCAAGAAGTGAACGCCTTTCCTTTGCAATTTAGGACCTGATTCAGGACTGTTCATTCCTCCTACTAATACTCTTCCTCTTCCACTTCTTTAATGGGTAAGATGCATTTAATCATGGAACATTCATATAACCCTGTATAATTCAATTAAACTCTTCTGAACAAACTGGAGTAGTCACGCCTGCCACATATTTAGGTCTGATGGCCCACATGCTGCAATAGGTCTTTAGCTGCACTGCAAACGTTGCAACGTAATTAGAAGATTGCCCCTATAGTGAATAATATCTAATGGTCTGCATGCATGAACTTAGAATGCAAATCATTCTGTTACATAACAAAGAAAAAGAACTTCTGAATAAGCAACTCTTTTTTTCTTCTTAAAGAGCAAGTGCACAAAAGAAATAGCTATATGGTCAGCCAGGACAGAGGGATTAAGTGGAATATGTGGATAGATCAAAGCACTGGCAAAATCTAACTTTACCAGATAAGAATGTTACTTGTTAATTTAGTGACTTACATCCCTATTAGGAAGGACAGTGTTCTCTACACTTCAGTTTGGCTGTAAACAAATACAGATAAGTGATATAAATGATATCGTTCAAAGATGTCTCTTTTAGCTAAGGCACAAATCTAAGTCTCTATGGAGACTCTTGCACCTCGATTTTCCCATTTTTATACACGGAGATAATACTGAATTACCTGCCACTAGTGTTGTAAGGTTATGTTTATAAAGCACTTTGAGAAACTTTGCCGACAGGTTATATAGAAAAAAGTATTTCAATTCAAACTTAAACCCATTACATTTCTCAGTTTTTCATACCCTTCTTTAGACAAAAGCTGCAATCTGGCTCACAACACTGGTGGCAAAGAAATAAGTTAAAAAAAAAAAATGCTTGAGCAGAAGAAGACATCAAAAAACAATACCTGAAAGTTGCAACTACTCTGCGGTTGGCTGTTTTATTTAATAAATAAATAAATGGTTACTGGAAATAGCTGTATCTCAGAAATAATGAGCTAAATGCCATGCAAACGCACTTAATCCCAGAGGTAAACAAGATGAATAGAGCAGCACAACGGTGCCCAACCTTCCATCCCCGCTGGCCCTATCCTATGCACCTGGATCCAGTTGCATACCATGCAATCTAGTGCGCAGGATATTATCTAGCACATACGGCTCCCCACAGGTCCAGAAGTTTGGCAGCAGAGGAGCTGCGATTAATCCTGCCACCACACCCCAACCTAATTTCCAGACCCACTGGGAGTCTCACAGGTGAGATGACATGGCTCCATGGGCTGGAAATAAAGCACCAATAGAGCAGCATATAGTTTTCTTTTGGAATCCATACAAATATTTGACACATTCTAGCAACGTGACTGGCATTCATCACATGGAGAGGTGGTTGGCCCCGTAGCAGACAGAAGGCAGGGTAGAGAAGCACATTATAAGCTAACTAAATTGCAGATGCATAAGCTTTTGAGAGCCTGAGCTCACAGTATCTGATTAAGTGAGGTCTTTCTCATGAAAGGTTATGCATCTTTGATTAAGTTAGTCTATAAGTTGTATTTATCATATAGAACATTCTTGTGACCAATACTGTAATTAAACCAATTACACCTCTCTACTTTACAGTTGGATAAAAATACCTTCCCAAAGCAGCAGAGGTGCCTCATGATTCAACAGAACAAGCTCAAGATAAACACTTCAGCAAGGTTCTGATTTTATTCACACCAATATAAATCTATTGGGAAACAACTGATTTACATAGCACAGCACAATCTGCCTTTAGAGGGTGGGGTACTGCCAAGATGGCTGACTAATTGTTTCTCATTTCCTTAATAGCATATCTGATAAACTATTCCCCATTACAGAAACATAGCTGGGAGTCAGTAATAACGAACAAAGGTCCCGTGACATTAAGCTTGCATGTACATGAACCCATCACTGGAACAAGCACTTTGGAACAGCAGAACTTGTATCTCAGTAGGAACAGGCATTCATTTTTTTTGGCTGTGTACAGAGAAGATAATTATTCAAAACATCTACAAACCTCAGCCTGCCATTATTTTGGAGAAATTCTCATTTTAAAAGTCTCCAAATGGATTTGTGTTAGGTTTTAATTTGGATAATGGTTTATTGCCAAAATCCATTAAGATAAAGCTTTGAATATTTTATATAAGTGCTCCACTAAGGTGCCATAACTACACTAAGCCCAAAACATCAAGCAATCGTACCAAAACACTTCCTGTACTGCTCATGGATAACAGGCAGAACAGTTACGAAATTATGAGACTACTGCTTCACTTACAACCAAAGCTAAATTTTAATTACAGGTTTTTGTTGTTGTTTTGTTGTTTGTTTTTTGTTTTAAATTTCAGGTGCCGCACTACAGTAAAGCTGGCAAGATGCCCTAGTTAAACCATCTCAGCAAAATAATACTGTGAAAAGCAAAACCAGCCATTTTTAAATTTAATTATACATGGCCTACATCCTGAACACGTGCACATGTTGGCATCATGTTTGTTCAGCTCTTCAGCAAAAGAAATTTTTCTTAACTGCATTATCTACACTGGAGGTTAACGAGCTACAATAGGAAGAGCCACCCAAATGTTGCACAAAAATATACAGTTGTTAATCAAATCTTTTTAAAATGAATGTGAATTTATGTCTAGAATGCCCCTTTGAAATAGAATAATTTAGTAAGGCACTTCAAGGTTTTCCCAATATGCATGAGCAAATAGCTTATTACAATGAGCACAGTCCAATTCAAAAAACAGAATGATTCAGTAATACAATGACTGACTTTCTTGGCTTCCCTGCTATTATCTGAGCTCATTTTGCCACATCCATTATGTTTCAAGATCTTAATTTTGTCATTTTAATTTTAGAGACTTCAACTGTCCCAAACAAACTGGCTACCCTATCTTGTTTCACATTTGAACCTTGATAATTAAGACCAGGAGAAGGTCATTCAACTGTTACTGACTGGGAAATGTATTTGATGGTATGAAGAGTAGCATCTAATCCAAGAAGGATAAGCCAAGGCAGCGACAGAGTTTAGGCTAGCTACGGGAGTCAAGGACAATAAGAAGTCCTTCTCTAGGTATGTAGGCAGCAGAGGGAAAACAAATGGAAGGTGGGACCCCTGCTTAACACCTCGGGACAGCTGGTAACTGACATTCAGGAAAAAACTGAACTCTTGAATGCCACTTCACTTCAGTATTTCACTGGACCATGGGGAAAGTCAAGCGAGATAAGGCTCATAGGGGACATGCTGGGACTGACAGCCCCACTGTAGATGCTGAGTGGGTGCAATACCAATTAGAAAAACTGGACATTTATAAGTCAGCGGGATTGGATGGACTGTATCGGAGAGTGCTGAAGGAGCTGGCTGAGGTCATTGGGGAACCCCTGGCAAAGCTCTTTCAGAATTCAAGGTGCACAGGGGAAATCTCTGAGGATTGGAAAAGGGCCAACATTGTGCCCACCTTCAAGAAGGGGAAGAGGGAGGACCCGGGCAACTATAGGTCAATCAGCCTAATCTCCATCCCAGGGAAAATCCTGGAAAAGCTCATTAAAGAATCTATGTGCAATATGCTTGCAGAAGGTAAGTTCTGAATGACAGCCAGCATGGCTTTGTCACGGGTAGGTCTTGTCTTACCAACCTCATCTCCTACGACCAGGTTTCTCATCACCTGGACACAGGAGATTTGGTAGACGTTATATACCTAGACTTCCAAAGGGCAACCTACACTCTTGTATTCCAAAAGGCTTTTGATCTAGTATCCCACAATATCCCTGTGGGAAAACTGGAAGAGTGTGGGCTAAGCTGCTTAACAGTTCAGTGGGTGGGAAACTGGCTACAGGGCAGGACCCAGAGAGTTCTCGTGAACAGATCTGTCGTCCTGGAGTGAAGCGGCCAGTGGTGTCCCTCAAGGGTCTGTGCTTGGACTGATGCTTTTCAACATCTTCATCAATCATTTGGATGGAGGAGTGAAAAGCTCACTTGCCAAGGTCATGGAAGACACCAAGTTACAGGGTGGTGTGCTCACACCAGAAGATATGTTGCAGATACAGGTGGACCTGGACAGGCTTGAGAGTTGGGCAGACCAGAACCAGATGAAGTTTTACACTTCCAAGTATAAGGTGCTCCATCTGGGGGCAAACAACCCTCAATGTACATACAGGTTCAGTGGTGACAGCTTGACTTGCACCACGGCCAAAAAGGACTTAGGGGTAATGACTGACCATCGCATGAATGTGACCTGTCAGTGCAAGGCAGCAGCCAGCAGGCCAAACAACACGCTGGCATGCATCAGCTGTTGCATCTTGTGTAAAACTAAGGAAGTGATACTCCCACTGTACTCAGCACTGGTGAGACTGCAGGTGGAGTACTGTGTCCAGTTCCCGGTGCCGCACTTCAATAAGGACATGGAAAACTTTGAGAATGTCCAGAAAAGAGACACCCATATGATCCAGGACTTGCAAGGCAAGCCATATGAGGAGAGACTGAGGGACCTGGGCCTCTTTAGCCTAAAGAAGAGAAGTTTGAGAGGTGATTTGATAGCAGCATACCGCTACATCAGAGGAGTGCATCAGGAGCTCAGTGAACAACTGTTCACTAGGGCACCCCCGGGGAAGACCAGGACCAATGGATACAAACTCCTGGAAGGGTGCTTCAGGCTTAGTACCAGGAAAAACTCCTTCACAGGGAGGGTGTCCAGACTGTGGAATAAACTCCTTCCAGAGGAGGTGCAGTCACCTACCCTGGAGGTTTTCAAGAACAGACTGGACAGTCACCTTGCTGGGGTCACCTAACCCCAGTTGTCTTCCTGCCTAGAGCAGACAGGCTGAACCCAATGATCTACAAGGTCCCTTCCAGCCCCTGACAGTCTATGAATCTATGAATGAATGAGAAAAAAAAAAGGCGCAATTACAACAAGTATACTGGTGTTTTGATTAGGCACATAAATATTTGAAAAGTTACCTGTTTAAACCTCCTTTGATTATATTGGTTAAATGGTCCCACACAGAAGGGCATAGCAGCATGGGGAGCTGGGGCCAAGGGTGATATGCAGGATCGAGGTATGTTCCACGGCCAGGCAAGACTTACACGCGTGGCTGCAGCAGGCTCCGCAGAGTGAGTGTGCAGGAGTGGGCAGGCAGCGGCGCCAGCAGCAGCATGGGGTGGCAGGGTCCACAGCTCAGTGCTGCCAGCTGTTGGGGAAGTGACTTCAGCACAGGCTGCCAGGAGGCACCCCCAGATCTGGGCTGCAGCATTGTGTGACAGAGAGGAGGAAGAGCCAGGCAAAGTTGTGTGGTGGAGCCAGAAGAGCTTAAATAGGAGTGAGCACAGCAGCAGGGCTGCCATCGGGTGCAGCAGAGGCAGGCTGCACAGAGCCAGGTGCCTCCACTCCCCCACATAGCACCCACAGGGAGAGCTGCCATACTTGCTGAGTGGCAACTGCTAGAGCCCTGAGGGCAGGCAGATGGGAGGGAAATGCAGCCTGGGGCTTCGGGTGCCCATGGGCTAGAGGCATTGTCTTGGAGCGGTACAACACGGCTGTCCTGGCAGGCAGGAGTCTGTGTGGGTGCTATGGGGGTGGGGGGGGGGCAGGCTGTGTGGGGCTGGTCCCTGCAGCACCCAACAGCAGCCCCACCACTGTGCTCGCTCCTACTTAAGCCCTGCTGGCTCTGCCACATAACTTTACCTTGTTCCACTTCCCAGAAAGGTGCTAAGTTCCTTCTGCAATCCAATCCCAATGGAGCGCACCTGTGTGAGCCAATCCAAAGATTTACTGTCATCTCACCTGCACCTCTGTTAATTCCTATGCTGTCTGCATATCGAGTACTTCAGGACATATCATTGCAACTGCCAGGCTAAACTTTTCAGCGCTCCACAGCAGGGGTTTTCAACCTTTTTAAGGAGTGTAACCCTTCTGGTGGGTAACCCTCCTGGACAAGCAGGGGGCGGCCACCCTGGTTGACGAGTGGTGTGGGGGGAGAGGAGTCCTCTGGCGGCTGGTCGACAAGAAGGGAGTGCTGGAGTCACATGCCACCATGCGCTGCCGTTGCCACATACCCCCTAGGACTTTCCCAAGTACTCCCAGGGGTATGCATGCCCCTGGGTGACAACCCCTGCCCCACAGAGACAGTTTTTAAGCCCTAGCCACTCCTAATTACTTGTTTGCTTTTTCACAATTCACCTGCTCTTACTAAACTTTCTCGCTAGCTCATCTCTGTTAACTGACACTTGACTGGTGCAAATGTGTGTTATACTCCTACTGCAATAACAATATATTACATCTGACCTCAGTTTCTTGACTCCTATCTGTACTGGGCACTGGGGACTGAATGTTAATATTGCTTCTAAAGTGAGATCACTATACTGTTATTTTATAGGAAAACCTCTTTAAGCCTAACCAATATTTTTGATTTTTAGCTTGACTTTAGAAGACCCACAGAATGAATTGGATTAACAGTTCAATAACATGCACTGTCAAATGTACCTGTTTTGACAGCACAGGTGGGTTTTTTTTAGTTCTTCACTGGTTACATTGATAGATACACCACATGCCCTACAGATGTATCTTTTTTACAACATGCTTTCTAGACCACATACTAAATTAATAGATGAATATCTTCAGGGACTACAAATGTTTAACTCCTCCCCTCCTTCTGCCTCTGTCCTATGCTCAGAGATTAAATTCTCCTGTGAAACTTGAAGCTAACAAGGTTATTTAGAAAAAAAGTTTATGGAAAAGGTGCCTAGTTTAATCTTCAAATTTCACATTTTGCTGCACAGTAAACCTAGTCCTTAGCTTAAGGTTAAAAATATATGAGCAAACTGGGAATGGATTTTCAACTGTTTTGTTTTAAAATGTACTAATCATTTTTAACATAAACTTTGTCTCTGATTAAGGCTATTATTTTAGTAGTTTCCATCTATTTTTTTAATAGAAGGCTATGTTACTTCAGACTAGTCTAGTAGGAAGAACAGTAATCAGTGTACTGAGGGTCTTAAATGAAAGTTTAAGACCACCAGTGCTCCATGATTCACACCAGCTCCCAAGCAAACTTGATTGGACTTCAAGGTACTGTATGATTGCAAGCATCTGCTGAGTTGCCCAGCCAGGACCTCAGCACTCTTCCTGTTGTGATTTGTCTCTGAATTGGTCTACCAGAACCCTGACCTCAAAGGCTGTCACACTTGAGGGAGATGCACCAGCATTAAACTTCCTTGAAATAACCCTGTATAAAGAAGGTTGCAATGAGACCTTGCCTGGAGCTTGGACCCTGGAGCTC